TGGTACTTTGAGAGGGGAGTCTGCCAACCTCCTCATCTGCCGGCAAATTAATAAACACTTTTTCCTTCTCAAAAAAAAAAAAAAAAAAGTAAAATGACTTCTCTTAAGCTACTCCCAGTTAATCCCTAACTCTTGGTTTTGAGTTGTGCCTTAATTCACTCAACTATTCACATCCCTGTTAATTTCTTGTCAAAGCAGACTCTCGACATGAACTGAATGAAGTAACCACAAAATTGTTGCTCATTCTTTCCTACATTTACCAAAGTCCCACAACCTCATCATTAGAGAAAAGCACACCTGTAGGTGTGCTGTTTTTCCCAAAAGGTAAAAAGAAACCTAAAAACATGAGCCCAGCTTGGGAGATAGTCACTTCACAATTAACCAGGCGGGGATTCAGTGTGACACTCAGTGTCTGTGTCCTGCCCTCACCGTATGGTTCTGGATCTCTTCTCCTTTCTATACCCAATAGGGAATGAAAACATTATCACAAGAGATGAAATATGTCTGAAAAAAGATCAGATAGACTTCAAAATTAGAGACTAATGTGTACATTGTCATATTCATCTTATTCTGACAATGGAGAGCTGAGTTATGTGTGTTTATATTTGTATTCTACTGTCTCAGTAGGTTTACAGTGTTAATCCTAAATCTGTTTTTAAACTAAAAAATTCTGTTGCCCTGGAACTAACAGGCAGCAACAGTGCACAAGCCTGAAATCCCCGCTCGCCAAAGGTAGAGCTGTCCTGGCACAGCCTGTCACTCTACTAGTAATGTCATCTAGTCCAACATCTCTCTGTACATTTCGTGGGTGCTCCTCTGTATGCCTCCCCTTAGGAAAATAATTAAGACATAAAAACTATCAAGAATTCAGATCAAGGACTATTTTAAAAATTCTACCCTGAGGTGAGATTAGCATCTCAGCAAATTTCAGCCATTGTACAGCAGAGAAACACTAAAATAAAACCTCTTCACCTGCTCCCTGGGAGAACTACTGTTAGTAAATATGAAATCATGGAAGATCAGAGAGGGGGAAAGAACAATGATTCAGTTTTCTTACAAAACGTCCATAACTGAAAATTCAGAATGATACTTCTTCCTACCATGACTGCATAGGGCTTCATTTCCCAGGCGTGGAGGTTGGTATTATCAATAATAATGGGGGATATGCCATTCCTCATTGCTTTTCTTGCTGCAACACAATGTTACATAACAGTGAACAACATGCAACAATCAGAGAGAAGGCTGATGTCATCCATATTTGTCATTTTTATTACAGGATGTCCTCATTACACAACTTCAATGCCACTTATTTCAGAACCCATTATCAATAATTTTCTTTTTCCTGGAATCTAAGAAGGTTATGGTCTGGCATTCTGTTTTGGGGGAAAAAATGGCAGAACTTTTGGTTAAGCTCCTTCCATAAAACTTACTCATTCTGCAGCAGCTACAATCTATGTACACAATAGGGTTTCCCAGGAGTTTGGAAAGGAATTTGTCACCTCTTTTTTGGTTCCATTCATGAGCTTCCTCCAGGAAGTCAGGATTGAATTCATAGGCACCATCTTCCCTGAAGAAAAAATCATCCGTGCTGAAAATCAGGGCTCTGGGAAAGTCATGTTGCAATTGTCTGGAAAGTGGAGAAATGAAAGAGATTTTTTTTTTTATTATATGCATAATCCAGTAGAAACAATTTCCTTCCATCTCTAGCATTTAGCAATTTATAATTCTGAGACCACCAGGTTTTGAGCTGTTGAAATTCAATTTTAAAAGAGATGCTTATTATGTCTAGAAGGCAGCGCTCCCTGACAGGAGGCAGGAGAGGGCTGAAAGGCAGCTCCGTGTGTTGCCAACCCTTGAACCTAAGAGGTGCTAGTCACTGCCACTGACTTCTGCAGCGACCAGGACTGACTCAAGCTGGGGGCATGGTGACTGTCTTCCCTCTTGGGCACTGGTCCCCATGCCATTCCTCTCAGAGGCACCAGTGCCCTCCGAGACGTGCGCGAGGGTGCCAGGCCCCCAGGCTGCAGCTCTTCCCTTGGCCCCTAAACTGTTACCTGGCCTGGGTCCTATTTCCTTGGAGCTCCGTTCTCTAAAAGGACCCATCTGAGAAACTAGTTGAAATGTGGATAAAGGTGATGTATGCGTGTATCCTATTAGGTGACATATTTATATTTTAACAATTACCTAACCCAAATGGAAAAAAAAAGCACAACAGGATAAGGAAAGAAGTAGACCCAACTCTCCCCTTACCTTCCTAAACCACTACCACTCTGGGTCTAAACATGAAAATATCACAGAAAAAAAGCCATCGTGGAGTTTTTAAACTCCCCTTTTAAAGCAAACATGAAACAAAACAGAAAAGTGTGTTGAGTTCTGTACAAAATAACTTCAAAGAGAAGATGTTTCCATTTGAAATCCTTACTTGGACTATATTTTGGCAGAAGGTGGACATTATGCACAGTAGCTGCTGGGGCCACCTCTGTGCCTCCTTTGCTCAACTGTAACAACCGAGCATAGCGTCACCCATCTTGTGAGGTGACGACGAAGATCTAATAACGTGGGAAAACAGCCAGCACAGCACGGAACAGAGCGTATATTTCCTTCCTTTTTCCCTACACAGCACTCACCAGCGTAACTGTAACTTCAAAACAAATGCAGCCAGCAAATAGAAAATATGGTCACATGGGCCACGCTCAGAAAAAGAAGATATTTAAAAGTTAGAGAAAAAAAGGTTGGAGAGTGACAAGGGCAGAAAATGCAAAGCGAAAGCAAAGCTATTCAACTTCTTTTTTGTTGTTGTTCTTCATTGAGAATTATCTTTAATCAGGAAGGAACAGAATAAGCACCGAGCATTGGAGCCACAGATGAGAGAGCACCTAAGTTGCTCGGGCAGACTTGGGTTCAGTCCTCTACCATCCAGTTATGTGACCCCATCTCCCTAAGCTTCTGTTTCCGTAACTGTGAAACACATAATCCCACCTATTGAACTGAGCTCCTGGTAAGACTCAAATGAGGCAAGGTATGGGAAAACGCTGTGTATCCTGTAAGACGCTTTACAAATGTAAGGCACTGTTGTTTTGTTAATAATATCAGTAGAACCAAATTTACCAACCCAGACTGTTGATAATGCCGTAATAATAAAATACATTGGAGTGTATGTAATGTAATCTTTGCGGTATTGTAGTAAATAAGAGAGAGATGAAAGACAAAAATAAAGCAAATGCTTCAATTTTTTAAAATAAGTAAATATACATTCCAGGAACAGTAAATAGCTGTCAAATTCTTCAGAAGGCTTGATAGCATTTAGAAAGAAGGCAGCATAGATAGCTGAAAAAGTAATTACAAATAATACATTTTCTTCTTCGGTGGACTATAGTGGTAAACAGGAAAATTCATTGGACATATCTTGATTTAAACAGAAATTTGGGCCGGGCATGGTGGCTCACGCCTGCAATCTAGCACTCCGGGAGGCTAAGGCGGGAGAATCGTTTGAGTGCAGGAGTTCGAGACCAGCCTGAGCAAGAGCGAGACCCCGTCTCTACTAAAAATAGAAAAATTAGCTGGACAACCAAAAATACATAGAAAAAATTAGCCGCGCATGGTGGCTCATGCCTGTAGTCCCAGCTATTCGGGAGGCTGAGGCAGAAGGATTGCTTAAGGCCAGGAGTTTGAGGTTGCTGTGAGCTAGGCTGATGCCCAGACGCTCTAGCCAGGGCAACAGAGTGAGGCTCTGTCTCAAAAAAAAAAAAACAGGAATCTGACAGTCTTTCTTGATAGCTTTGTGGGAAAATGTGGGCCAGAAGGTAATATATTTCAATACCCAAAGAATATTAGTTAATCATCAAACCCATTAGATATTTATTGAGCATTTAACATGCGCCAAGTGCAGCGTGAAGTGTTAAGGTACAAAATAAAAGTAGCTGCTTTCAAGGAATTCGCAGCCTAGCTAAGGAGCCAGCCCCCTCCCCCCAGCGAGCATAGCACACAGCTGCACGGAGGAAGCACCAAGAGAACTTCGAACGGCCAGTGCTGCCAGGGAAGGCACTGTAAAGGAGATGACATTTGACTTGGACCCTGAGGCATTAGAAAACTGTTGCCTCTTAGGGGAGAGGGTAAAGAGCCTGGCAGGTCAGAAAAGGAGGAAGCCAATGCTTGAGGGCTTGTTAGGATCCAGGGACTTTAGGTAAAAACGAGAACAAAGACACTAAGATTTAAAAGAAGCAAATTGTCTTTGAAACACCCTTTTCCATTCTGAGTGCCACATAATTTAGAGAGAAACTTGGCAAGCTGGAATGTTCACAGAAGAGTGACCAGGTAAATATAAGGTCAGAAAATCATGGAAACCACATCAGAGGAGCAAAGATCAAAGAAATGCGGGATGCCTACGGCGAGAGAGCAAAAGACACCAGTGACAGGAGGTGATGGTTACCCTCAGGTGCCAGAAGACGCAGTGAACTTACTGCGCAGGTCAGCAGTTTGGGCTGGGCTCGGGTGGGCAGATCTGCGGGCCTGGCATGGGGTCACACGCGTGCAGCTGTGTCACCGCACTGCACGGGGTGGGGACAGAGCAGTCTGAGCAGGCCTGCTTCGCTCTCTCTGGCTCCCGCTCCATCCACGTGGCCTCGCACCCTCAAGGAGCCCGACCCAGGCCTCTTCCGAGACGCAGTATTTCAAGAGCTAAGAGAAGCAGCTGCTTGCTAGGCTTCCGCCACATTGTTGGGCAAAGGAAGCCACTTTGCTGGCCCACATTGTAGGGGTGGGAAAATAGTTTTGGCTTCTTGATGGAAGGGGGAGCACAGAAAATGGGGCCACTTTTAACTCTACTGCAGATACAGAAAGTGGCACAAAGGAAGAGAGAAGAATAAAGAGGATTTGATGAAACAAACACTCGTAGTTTCCATATGAATGTCGATTATTTGAGTTTAAAGATAAACTGAAAAGTCCAAATCATAGATCCAAACTTTAACCTCCAATGCAAACAATTACTATAAAGACACCTGAGGAAAAAAATTGAAGGGTAGCACTAGGTGCATTTTCAGGTATATATATTTTATATTTGCGAACACTGTACAGTTGTAAAATTATTTTCATCAATATTATTTAGTCTAAATAATGAAAGTTATGTTCAGAGGTTAAATAATAGTATATAATGTACTTCCCTTATCTTGTGTGTACTAAGTTAAGCAACTATGGTAACTGGTTCCAATTTTGTTTTTTCTTTTTGGTCCCAGATTTGATATCCGTTTGAAATCTGGTTTCATTTGTTTTTCTGTGAAGTCTGCTATTATAGGTTTGGTTTTGGTTTTTAAATATTTTCAGAGTTGAAGTTTTCTTTTCATATATATATATCCTTATCTACTCTTGTTCTCCTCTTTATGGCTTATGTCACTGATTAGACATTAATACTCTGTTTCCTTCAAAGACTTTAAGGCATGAGTGTCTAATTCATCTTTTATTTGAATCCTGCTCCTTTCTAGAAAACAAAAATAAAGCATATAACTACTGCCCTTTTTGACTGCAAAATTTTACCTCCGAGTAAAAGTTAAATTGTTCAGGACCACGATGGGGGAGACCACCTTCTCATCATTTCCTAACACATATCTGACTGTGGGTTCTACTGGCCTTCTAACTAACCAGCAAAAATAAGAGTGTTTGCCACTTTCAAGGCTCTAATGGATTTTTTTTTTTTTTGGTGTCTGTAGGATCTTCCTGAATGACCGTTCCTTCAAAAACTTGTTTTATCTTCACCTAAACATTAAATTAGCACTGGCAGCCACAGTAGCACATTGAATATGCAGGACAATAAAAACTCTACTAGCTAAGTAAAGAACTGATTAAATAGACAATCTTGAGAGTCTCAAACTTAAGTGGAAGCAATAAATACCATTCCATCAGCTTCAGAAGTGATGTGGAAAATGCCCCAGCTCTATCTTTCTTTATGGTGGTCAGGAGCCTCAAGCATTAGGGAAATTGAGAGAATGAAAATAAAAGAAAAGGGAAAAAATAGAAAGACAATTACTTCCACATAACCTTCACCTTCCCCACTCCCCCCTCGAATTCACTTAAAATCACTACTATGAGAGAAACTCAGGTACTAATCTTCATTTCACAACTTATTCTTTTGTGTAATTCTTTATTTAATAATAACCATAGAGAGATATTTATATAACTATTCAGCCAGTCACTCACTCACTCATGGAGAAAGTCCAACACTGCTATGTTATTTTAACTTGATCCCCAACTTTTTATTAGGGAAATTTTCAAACATGGAAAAGTAAATAGAATGATAGCGTCAATCCTCATGTACCCATAACCAATTATCATATGGCCAATCTTGTTTCATCTACTTATTTCATTTCACCGAATATCTCATCAGTGTTCACATTTCTCTGGTTGTCTCACAAATGTTTTCCTACAGTTGGTTTGTTTGAATCAGAGGCCAAACAAGATCCACATAGTGTATTTGGTGCCATGTCCTTTAACTCTCATTTATTCTATAGTTTTCTCTCTCCTTTTTTATTTCTAGCTGAACTTTCCTTCCACAACCTTTAATTAGAAAATGTACAAACCTAGAGAAATGAACTGAAAAACAGTATAGTGAACACTGCTTACCCTTCATCTAGTCAC